AATATACATTAATCAAATCACAAATCAGACCGATTGACTACTATTATTACTCTTCACCCTGTTCTGGGTATTGTCACCCATGTAAAAGGATATAAAGGATATCAAAGAGGTATAACTATTAGAATTGCACCCATTTTTTTCCAAGATTACATACCTTATATATCAAAACCCCAATATGAATATAATAAAGTTAAACTAATAGTTTAGTAAATTGGTTATTTAAAAGATAAATATGTAAAAATATAGAAGTTTACCACAAAATATCCAGTTAGAAGATGTGACTAAAAAATAGATTTCATTACTAGACAAAAATACCCAGATATATGCCTAAAAAGAAGTATTTAGAACCTATATGAAGATGAAGAGCAAAATGGTAGCAGAAGGTATGGTTAGGATTTTAGCAAATATAGAAAAATCATACATTCCTAAACAGCAAAAAGGAATTTTATAAATATGTCTGTTTTTCCCCCAAATAATTTATGTGTCTAACAAAAATCTCAATAAGAAATCCCATTGGAACTTACTCTTGAACCCTGACAAAATAATTGTAGAGCTCTAATGGAAAAATCAACAGGTAAGAAAACAATCAAATTAGAGCTTTATCTCACAGCATATTTAAATATAAATTTTGTAGATGATTTAAGTAATTAAATATAAAACAAAAAATTATTAAAAAATCATAAGAAGTGACTGGTTAACTTTCCTGCAAAGGAAATGTATGTAAATCGATGTAAAGGAAAAGTTTATATATATATATATATATATATCTATATCGAGAGAGATATAGATATATATATATATATATATCTAATATATAATCAAGTGAATATATATATCTATATCTCTCTCGATATATATATATATATATAGTGGTATGTTACCATACACACACACACACACACACACATACATATATATGTGTGTACCTACATAAAAACCAAAAACATCTGCATGACAAAAAAATCATACACAAAATTGAAGACAATTTGCAGACCAAGAAAAAATTTATAATGAACACAGTGGACAAAAACTAACATCTTTAAGTTATAGAATATCTCTAAGAGTCCATAAGAAAAACACTGACACTGCCACAATTTAACAGAGGACATACACAGATAATTCTTTAGAAGATGATGAATGGTTAAGTAAATGTGAAAAATGTTCAACATTATTACTAATGGGGATATGTGAATTAAAATGACAATAAAATGCCTTTTTCCCCCACTTATTTGCAAAGCTAACATTCAAAGTTAACAAGGAGGCAGTGAATAAGATAACTGAAACGACCATGTGTTACAGTGTAAGATCCTGTATGCTTTCTATGAAAGATCTACCCACAAATACGTATTTGGACAATTCTGTTACAAACTGGAAAGCCCACATCTAAAATCCATTCTAAGGGATCAATAAAAGTTATGAACCAAACATTGACGTGTAATCTGATTCTTCAAAGAGTGAACACTTGTAAGCAATTTAAATGTCCAAAAGAGGGTCATGGACATTAAATAATCACATATCCAAATAATTAAAAAAGGACCATCATTAAAAAAGCATATTTATGAAGAATACTTTAGTAGCCTGGGAAAATGCTCACAAAATGATGTTGCCAAGAAAGAAGATGATAAAATTACTATTACAATTCCTTAAAAAAATTATTATTACAAGAACACGTGCCATATGATCTTTGGGTAATGTCACGTTGGGCGATTACAATTTTAATATTATGCATTTCTCTATTTTCTACAACAAACACAGATTCATAGGACAGAAAATATTCAACAGAAGATTTACTAAAAAGTCAAGGCTTTGAAAAAGTGGTGGTTTCTCTGATCGCAGTTATCGGCTTTCTGTCAGTATGCTGAAAATCATATTGTTGTCACTTCCATGTGGCAGAGTGGCTTAAAAGAACAGGCATACACTCAAATATTGTCACACGCCAGTTTATTGAGGAAACTGTGATGCTAGCTAGAGGTTAACTCTATTCACTTGATTACTTTTCATGATGTCAAACAAGAGTCTGAAGGCTACAAGCCATGAAGTTACACAATGACTTTCCCACATTTTGTTCAGAAACACAAAAACCAAATACCAAGAAATGTTTGACTCTGAAAATTGCCCTCATTTTTTTTTTTTTCCCCAAAAGGTGGTAATTAAGGGTCAGGAGGCACAGTGGTGTGGGGAAGGACAAAAATGGAACATGGAACAGGCAAATATTTTGGCTAGATTTCATTTTCCAAAGTTTCAGGTCTCTCCAATTTTTTTTTTAATTTTTTGTAGCAAAAAAGGAATCAATACTTTTCATTCCACTCTTGTCAACTTTAGCCAAAGCCTTCTGAGCTGCAGTCATTTTGCTATTTTTCTGTTAAGGAAAATAAGATAAGAATTATTACAAATGTAACTAACCTTTATAAATCGTACATGCAAATCAAACAAGACCATGCATGCATGTCTCAAGGTTCATGAAGAGAACTATTGGCTGCTAACATGCTTCATAAGGGAGTTATTATTATTATTATTATTTTTAAATCTGATTTCCATTCAGAATTCAGACCTAAGACACAAAATCCAGTAAAAGAGGCGGGAGACCAAACTGCCACCTTCTAAGGAGTGGAATGCTACAGCCAACGGTTTACTTTACGGGGATAATTCTGGAGGGTGTATGAAGTACAATAACACCAACAAAGGAGCTGACACAGGCGCGATGTCAGAGAGGAATGCCAGCTTGGCGGTTCTGCGCAATGAATAATTCACCACCATGGGCTGGTGCAATTTACTCATAGGCTCTACGGGAAACCAAGGACAACACTATTATATTAAAAAAATAACCCGTACCGAAGAGCATCCTGGACAAGCAGGATGACTGCCCCAGTTTTCCTCCAACAGAGAAATACTTGCCAAAAAGCTGACTTCAAGTAACTCTGCCTTTGAAATTCCTGGTCCCTGTGTTTTGTTTGTTTGTTTTGCTTTGATTTGGTTTTGTGCCATATCCTGAACTAGCACTGCCGGCAGATGAACAGCCGCTGACTCTGCTTCAGTGCATCTCACCTTCTCCAGCAGAAGCAAACCTGATGGGACTCAGCAAAGGGAAAAACTCATCTGTCTCCCTGAGAATGGGGAGACAAAGTCACTGTCAAAGAAGCTTTTAAAGGCACAGTATATGATCCCTGAAATCTTGCTTCTCACATTCTGTCACTTACATCTTAGGAGGCTTATTTTTTGGCTGGATGGTGAGAAGTGATGGCTCTTTGTGACCAGTTATCCTCCATATTTAACTGACACATCCTGGCCCAGCCCTATTTCCCTGGGGCTGTGCCCAAGTAGATGTAACAAAAAGCCACAGTTACAAGGGTGGGGCAGAATTAGTACTCGCAGAGAAACTCAACATCCCTGCTTAGGAAGCCATGGAGATAATTAGCTATCTTGTCAAATCTCAGCTGGGATTATCCCCCTGACATCACATGCCCAGATAAATTACATATAGATCAAAGAATAAAATCTATAAAAAAACATTAAATGCTAAGGAAAGAGAATGTTGTTAAAATCTAAGAGGACGTGAATTTATCTTGGGATGGACAAAGTTGAAGCATAAAAATAATGAGAAAGTCACAAGGAAAAACAATTCCTACATTTTATCCTCAGAAAAACTTAAAACTTTAAAAAATCGAATAAAAGGCTAAACACAAATTACAGAGTTATTTGTACCCTATATGTCATCAGGTGTTAATAATTCCTAATCTAGAATGAGCTCTTAAAAATCAACAAGAAAAACACTATCTCAATATAAAAAACGGGCAAAGGACATGAACTGACAACTTCTAAAAATGCAAACTGGCAAATAAGCATTTGGAAAAACAACTAACCTTTCTCATCGAAGAAATGTACCCTAATTAGACAGCCAAAAATTTTCAAGAATAAAAATAATATTCAGTGTTGTCAAGAAAGCAAGATGAGCAATCTTGTAGCAATAATGGCTGGAAATACAAATTTCTACATTTTTGGAAAGCATTTTACATATATATTGTGTATACACACATACAATCAATCATATATATGATTATATATATGATATATATAATATATAGTCATTTACATGACTATATATGATAAAATATATATGATAAAATCACATATATTATTATATATAATGCAATATATAGGATAAAATCAAAAGCATACACACACACACATATATATATTCTCTCAACAATCATGGAAAGAGCTCATGTTTTCTAAGCCCTTACTCTTAGTTCTAAATTGTGTGTAATGAAATAATCAGAGACACAGACTATAAATAAGAATGTTTATCACTTCATTAAAACAAAGAATGAAAAAGGCAGAAATAACCTATGTGTCCAAAAACAGGGGAATGACTAAATAGATTATATGCCCTATAGTGAAATAAAATAACACAAATGATTGAATATCATGAAACCATTAATAATTTGTCAGAGAATGCCTAATGACATGAGAACATTTTCACAATATACTACTAACTGAAGAAGACAGAACCCCAAAACTATAAATATATTAAAATGCCAATTTTAAAAGCTGTATATATTTATATAATGTATGTATTAGATAAAAATTTGTAAGAAAGGTTACAAAAATATTTGCTGGGCTGATTGCTGAACGGTAGGGTTATTAATAATTACTGTCATCATTATAAGTTCGGGGAAGCTTCCAGGCAGTAGAGTTGACAGAAAATGAGCTGTGGAAGCTCCCCCCGTCTGTTCCCCCCCACTCTAAATACACAGCAAAGTGTAGGCATGCTCTTGCTAAGTACAGTGCCTTGCCTTGATTCAGAAAAAATCTTCCTGGCATGACATATTCATTATCATTCATAATTTTGAATTAATTACTGAGTCACAGAAAGGCAAGTTCACAATCCTTTGTGGTTAAAATTGTAACATCAGAATCAATCAAGCATGAAATCACTCCTGGATGTCCTCAGGGCCACCTACTGAATCCAGGAATATGCCACTCCGGCTGGACACACATACCTTTTCAGTCTTCAAATCTTTCCTGTTAAACTTAGTGTAATCTTCTTTTGCTTCTACAGGCTCATCAGATAACTTTACTTTCTGCAATGTTAGAGCAGTGAAGTGATGTCAAATGTCACCTTGACATGTCAATCCATTTTTTTAAAAAACGGTGGGGTCCATTTGGACCCGCATCAAGGCCAAATGGAACAGTAGTAGACCCTGCAAAGGGCTTACTCTGCATTTTGTCAATTATCTGGGGGAAAGAAGCCACATATCCCTTCTGAGAAGCAGCGTCGGTGGTGGGGGGATACGCTAGGGTGAGTCCGTGACCTAGCCCATTGGGCAGTCTAGCGGTACTGATCACATATTTTGTATGTACCGGGACTGGGAGGCATTTAGGAGACTGCTGACTTACAGACAGTCTAAAGGGGTGAAGGCAGGCACATAAATCAAAGATAAAAATTCCCTCTAAGGGGGCCAGGAGTCCAGCCAGAAACACCACTTCATTCACCTTCTGGGCTGGTGTAATGTCCATTTAGGAATAAGGCACATTATTCTGTTATTACCATTTTTGTATAGCTTCATGTTCTTACCTCCTTTCAATTCAATTATCTCATTTTGTCCACACAGGGACAACCCTGCAAGGCAAGCAGCCAGCGGGAGAAGGAAGCACAGAGAGAGTAAACAAATGACTTAAGCCCACTTAGCAGAGGACAAGGAGTGAGATCTCCATTTCTGGACAAGAGCTCTTTCCATGAGGCCCAGTACAACTAAGTCCACATTTACTTCATGTTTTCACCTTTCACGTGGGCATTCTGTACCAATGAATGTGAGAGCCTTGTCAAAAGCTAGACTCTGGCCTTAATGTTCACATTATGGAAGGAACTGTGACACATTTACTATGTAAAAGGCCCATAACAGGGCAGGTAAGTCTTGATGTTTAACATAGAGAATTGACTGCATGTGACCACAACTTGGATTTCTGCAGATCTTCAAGCTCTTTGTGGAGACACCAGGGTTGAAAGACCCAATGTGGATCTTCCCTAGGAAATGCAGATTTATTCCCAGCCTCCCTCTTCATAACCCAGCATTTGCCAAACAAAGAGCTGTGGAGTTAGTTTTAAAACATGCCATGGCAGATGTCTAAAACCCAAAGGGATAAAACAACATGTCTTGAAATTCTTCACTGTAAAGAATCAGGGGGGACCTCCTGGAAATATAGAACATCATACGGCAACACTTTCTCTTGGTCACACAGCAATCTCCAGCAAATGAATCTTCAAAAGAAAAAGACTAGCTTATCACGAATGAACTACTACCAGCAAAGTAGGTATATAAGCAACTTTCTTAAGAATATGTTTCTACTTAAAAATTAAGATCAATAAAGGGCGTTTAGGTGATGCATATTTTTACTAGAAAAGTATCTTCAACCAGGAAAGTGGAACTCACAGGTCATAACGACGAAGGCTAAAATTGTCTCAAACTGCAAAAAGCTTTTAAGTTATAAGATAGTTTGTGTTCTGCTGTGGCAAAATGTTCTACTATAGATGTCACTATAAATGCTTGGGCATAGTCACTTTTTGCTGGTAAGACAAACGAAAAATGTCCAAGACAAGAGCTAAAGATGAAAAGTGCTTCTTTATAAGTATACAGAGGTGTCACATATACAGAGATGATGACTTGTTCAGGTGTTTTAATAGTATCAAACAGGACACCGGTAATCAGTGGTCAGAAAAAAGATGACTATGGTCAGCCTCTGCACTGAACTTTTTCTAATGTTACAGCACATGCTGATTATGTTTGAAAGAATCACAATTGTTACACTTATTTGAACTGTTCTTATTTAAAAGACCAAATAGGGGCGTGTAGAGTCCGACTCTTGATGTCAGCTCAGGTCTCTGTCTCAGGGTTGTATGTTTAAAGCCCGCGTTGGGCTCTGTGTTGGGTTTCATGCTGGGCATGGAGCCTACTTTCAAAGAAAGAAAAAAAAGACCAAATCACTACAGGTCTGGGGGGAATATTTCAGAAGAAACAGAAAATGGCTCAGAAAGACAGTAACAAAGGCTGCGACTGAATGGACACAGTTCTGGCAAGAGAAGAGCCAAGAGCAGAGCACCATGGGAATTAATGCCAGGATGGATCTTATTCTTACAGATGATCTGCAGGAAGGAACTCCAGAGTATCTCCAGTCCACTAACTGCACTCAGCTCTGCCAGTGATAAATGCAAACGATGGAAAAGCGCAGGGGCTGGAGGCTGAGTGTCGACACAGGCAAACATGGGATAGTAAGAAAATAATGCAAAACATATTAAGGATGCCAGGCTTTATGCTATCTTACACACAGATACAAAGACATCTAATAGCCACTGAAATGGATTTGCTGAAAACCATCAACTGTATGACTGTAAGAGTCGATCAAATCCCGGACGCAGACAAGAAGGCTGGCAGAAGATGTTATCCTAAGCTTGTTTAAAGGTGGTACATCACCTGTACAGTTTGCACTCCAGACACGAGAGCCCCAGCCAGACATCACAGACTGAGAGACCTCGAACAGCAACTAAGCAGCCCAGGAGATGAGGCTGAGGTTTAGGAGAAGCAGGACTGTGAGATCTAGATCAGGGCTTGGCAAACCGCCTGCCAGCCCAGCCCCGCCAGCCGCCTGTTTTTATAAATGAAGTTTGGCTAGAACGCCACCGCCCGCATCTGTTCAGAAATCGTCTGCGGCAGTCTCTGTGCTCCCACAGTGGAGCTGAGGAGCTGTGATACAGACCATCTGCCTTGTGAGGCCTCCAACTGTCACTATGTGGCCTTTACAGGATAAGTCTGCCGACCCCTGATCTGAATCATACACTATGACATCACAAACGATTTAAAGTTTGGAAATTAAAATAGGCAAACAGAAAACCGGGTTAAAAGTAAATGTAGGAAATGCATTACCCTGGATGGTATCAAAGGCCAAACCTTCAAGAACAGGCTTTGATCCTTCACGAATGATCTCTAAGTTACTAAGGAAGACAGATATTTGGGAGAAAGAAAGATGCTTTGTTTCTGGAAGGAGAGAAGTAAGAGAGGAACAAATATGCCCATCTTCTTAGTTCCAGCAAGGCAAGCATGCCTCTGTCCTCCAGAGCTACTGTCAGAGATGAACTACCAGACTGGAAGAAACATGGGTCTTACCTAGAAGGACCTTAGGCCTTACAGCAGCTGACCTCTGCCCAGTGCTATTCCTCCCAAAGGAAAAGGATGGCGCTCCTTTGACAGCCTGCTGAAAATGGCCACCGCTAAGGCCGACGCACTTGAAATTTTCTGTCCTTCTCATAAGTCAAAGTAATGAGGGCTTTCGGAGCCGCCACAACCTCCAAACAGGACATGAGACACACAAAAAAGAAAAAAAAAAAAATCCAAGCATGTTGGCCACCTTGAAGGCCGGGAGAGAGGAAAGTTCTTCAATATGCACTTTTCAGTCTCGAGGCATCCATTATTCTGTTGGCAAGAGAATGGCCTCACGGACGAGCTGGTACGTGTATTTATTTCCCTGTCTCTGAGCAGCGCTCAGTTGTCTGATATTAGGCCTGGACTGAAGGACCCTGCGGTTTGCCATCAGGTGCGGTTTACCACTGGCTTCTCTGCTTTCCGCATCTGGGAGACAAAAACAAGCTGTGGCCCATGGGGCCAAGGAGCTGTGGGTGGCAGTTTGAGAACATCTGGAAGAGGAAGGGTTTTTTGCAAGACACAGTTGCACTGATCATTCCTAGCACAGAAAGAAAATGTTTGGCTATCCTTGCTCAAAGGATTCTTTGTGTGGCAAAGTCATGCTCTGTTCGCCTCTGCACCCATAACAGTTAGATCGGGCAAAATGAGTTGTAGTTATCCGTCAAGTATTCCTGATGATTAATCAGGGTAATTGCGGGACCCGGCTAACTCAAGAAGGCAGAATCTTAATTATGTATCTATGAGACCTTTAGGTAGGTATCTGGTACAACCAACTCTTACCTGGTTTTCTCAGCACTACAAAAAAAATCTACAAAATCTTCAAATCTACAAAATCTACAAATCTACAAAGATAAAAAAATACTGATGGAGAGCTCCTTACAACCTATAATCCACACAACATCACTCCACCCAAGGAGGATTTAGTATGCTTTAAAATGGACTAGAGTGCACTAAACCTATGTGGTAAAAATGTACTATTTTTCCAAGTCCCCCAAAGATATCTTAGTCACAGCTCCTTACCTTTGACGGAGGGTTTGGCAATGACGCTGAAGTTTCTGGAAGCCTATGGAGTAAAAAATAAGAATCAGTCATGGTTTTTCATAGACAAGCAAACAGAGAGACTGGGCCAACGGACTTAGCAAGTGCTACTTTCATGGACTAGCTTCACCTCCATGTGTCCTCCTGGACTATCACCTCAGTGTCAAGAATGACATTTCTGTAAATGAAGAAATCTTTATTTTCTTCACATTGGAATTGTCTGAACTAAAAAAAAATAAAATAAAATTAGAACTCATTTGTTACAATGGAACTGCTTTTCTTTAGCCTCTATAAATTTACATTTTGGCATTGTAGTATTTTTTTTCCTTCATAAATGACAAATCCAGCATATGTATATTTTTTATTTAAATACAATTTAGTTAACATAGAGTGGAATCCAGCATCTATTTAAAAGTAAAAATTATTTTAACTGTTGACAAAAAGTCAGACAAACTTGACTTTTCTTCAATTAAAGAGAAGTTTAATTGACATATCTTTCTACCTGAATCTTTAACCAAAAGCTAATCACTTCAGAGGAAAGAAAAGAATCTGAAAAATAACGGGAGTACAAAGACATAGGTCATGAATGAGATAAACAGCACAGAGGAACCCAGGGAAATATTAAACAGAAAGACAGGGTTATCGATTTAAAGCAGGTTTTCAAACACTTCAACTACTATAGAAACCAGTTTCCACTAATTGTTTTTTAAAGTAGGAACTATACAATTTGCTAAAAACAGCAACTATAGATCTATTAAGAAGCCACTTAAAAAAAAAAAAAAAAGAAGAAGCCACTTTATCTTCATGTATCAGAGGAGAAAGCTATTATAAGAATCAGGAAAAGCTATTATCACACCCATAAAATCTTAACAATAGTTGCTAAAATCGAGAAAAGAAACACATTCTTTTCAGCCTAAGGTAAAGTCTTTATGTTATATTAAATATCTTTATGAAGGACATAACACAAATAAATCATTCATAAACCCATTTTCTGCCCTCAGACACAGATTGTGTTTCATCCTTTGAGTTCCAAGAGCTAGGCATAATAAAGGTACTTGGCAAACATCTCATGAAAGTGAAAGTGGTACAAAACCTTTAAATGTAACTTTCAAAAATATTCTAGGGGCACCTGGTGGCTCAGTTGGTTAAGCATCTGCCTTTGGCTCTGGTCATGATCTCAGAGTCCTGGGATCAAGTCCTGCGCTGGGCTCCTTGCTCAGCAGGGAGTTGCTTCTCCCTCTCCTTCTGTCCCTCCCCTCCACCTTCCCCACCCCTGGCTCTTGCTCTCTCTCTAATTAAAAACCAAAATCTTTAAAAAAAAAAAAATTCTACATGCCATCTCTTATTTTCTTCTAATCTTTATTTCTCTTAAAATGGTCACAGTGCTCACTTCGGCAGCACATATTCTAAAATGATCACAAAAAACCACATTAGTGAAGTCTAACTGGGGATAAAACTGTATACCGTTTACACTCTAAAATCACACCAACCCATAATTCCAGTCCTGATACTCACCAGTTTCTGCAATCAGTATCCACCAAATCATTTTGTTCCAATAAATCAGTGTCTACTAAAAACCACCTTCAACCATAGAGTCTAGGAGGTAACTCAAGAATAATTTATGAGAAGCAGTGATGTGATAGAGCCATTAAGGAACCTATTGTTGGGAAACCAAGAAGCACCAAGGTACTTCCTAATTATGGCTAAAGATGAACGTTACTTACTTTAAATACTTCGCTAAGTCATCACTTAATTCTTTAGGGATGTAATCAGATATCAGGCCATGAGCATAACGAATATAATCCTCTGAAAGAGAGAGAATGGAGAGTGCAAAAAAAAATCAGTTGTAATTATGGTAATTTTAGTCAAATTGATCAGAGTTAAAGTTCTGGCTCTCTCTGGCCTTAGAGACTCACTTAAGCTCTTAGCCTCCATTTTCCCATTTGTAAAATGGGGATGTGATCCAAGGTTGCAGCAGTGAGCGATTTCATGGATGCGATATGACAGAATATAGCAGATGCCCACCGAATGATAGTTTAAAACAAAAATTCAGGGTCTTTTTCTTAGTTGAGGCCTTTGAATACAAATAAAGCTCGAAATCAGCTGTAACAGTATAACATATTCATGCTTATGAAGACTAATTGTTTTAGGTCTGTTTCAATATAGAATGAGTCTAATTAGTGAATAGTAATGAATACATTCATTTAAGAGACGTCATAGATGATACGTCTCTGTCAAGTACCTGAACATCATATATACTCTCAAACTAATGTCTTCAAAAATGGAAAAAACTAAACTCAGCAGAATGTATGATCATTAATTCTAAAGCACATGGACACTTAGTACTAAAATGAAGCCATGGTATGGAGGAGATGCAGTTATAGAAGTCAGAATCTGTTTTAAAGCCCTGTTCTTTAATTCATATTTTATGTAGAGTACTAGAGGATAATCAAACTTTAGATATGGGATGATCACACGGGGAATATAAGCTACCAAAAGCACCATCTCAGGTTTGTTGCTGGGATATTCGTTTGCTTCTTTTTTTCCTTCTCTTCTGCCTTCAAACTAAGACAGTAATTTGCCTGAGCATTAAAGTGACTGCTTTCTGGAGCACAAAGCCTCAAGGTCTTCAGTGAGAGACCTTAACTACCAACATAGTAAAGTTATTTACTGAAAGTTATTCACTGATAACTGAAAGTTATCACTGGGCCCTTCTTAAAATGTGCTCTTGGTTCTAGGTTAGTAATTATCCACTAAGTCATGAATAGACAAAGGGAATTAAGAAAGTGAACACGTTATTTGTTTGCCACTTCTGGTGGCTTACTGAGCTACAGATCTAAAAAAAGGAAAACTTACTTTATGGCTATGCCTTAAATGGCAATATAGCCTTGCCCAGACCATTATGTTTAGAGACTGGCACAAACACTGGATTCAGAGCAGAAGATGTGACCTCCTAGCTAGGACTGGTGACTTTGGATAAGTCATCTACTCTCTGAGACCACAGTTCTTTACTTTTAAATGAGATCTGCCTAAATAATCTCTAACATCCCTTCACCTTCTTAAAAAAAAATCTAGGGTCCATCTATCCATTTGACTCAACTCCTTCTCTTCTGTTAAAGCCAATCAGAAACCATGAGAGCTGGTAAACTCGGGATAGCCAAAGCTGTCCACCATTTCCAGAACAGCAGGAGTCCTCTACCATCTATATGTGCAAGCTAGATTTCTGCAAATCAAGGACTGCCTGCATTACCTTCAGTCACAAACAGGACCCTGGTCCTAGTTTTGTTTTAATGATGACAATCAGATGCTTTGGAGTTGTATGCCCACAACAGGGGAACACTGAATTGGAGCTTAAAGTCAGAAAAGTTTCTGTCCCACCATTCGGGAATGTTAATTGCATTATATAGCTGTTTTTATTCAACTACACATACAAAAACAAGAGGACACATACTAGAAAAAGCAGAAGAATGTACGTTAATAACCTAAAAGAAAAAAATTGCCAAGGGAATCAATTTTCACCTAAAATCGACATACTAAGACCAATAGTAGGACATATACTTTTTTTTTTTTTAAAGATTTTATTTATTTATTTGACAAACAGAGATCACAAGGAGGCAGAGAGGCGGGCAGAGAGAGAGGGGGAAGCAGGCTCCCTGTTGAGCAGAGAGCCAGATGCGGGCCTCAATCCCTGGACCCCGGGATCACGACCTGAGCCGAAGGCAGAGGCTTTAACCCACTGAGCTACCCAGGCACCCCAGGACATATATTCTTGACAGTAAGATGCAGAGAAGTGCAGCCCCTTGGAAACCCAGGGCCACACAAACAGTAGGACAAAAACAGGAAGCGTGTGGGCTTCAGAGTCAGGCAATCTCCGTGGGTCGCTCAGCTTCACCACTCACTCACTGTGGGACTCTGGGTGCAGCTTCCAGACTCTCACCGTCAGATGAGACTTAACAGGGAGGGTCAGCTGACATCCTGTGTGTCCACAGGCCACTCAGGCAAAGGGCTTGGCACACAGAACACTCTCAATAAATGACAGCCAGAGCTGTTAGGCTGGTTATTGCTATTAGTGCAAAATAGTATACGTGCCAAAGGCATGATTTAAGTATCAATTAGTGACAGAAATGATCGATGGTAAAAATATTCCTGTGTTCTGAACTGAAATGCACACATGCCACAAGATCTAAGAGAACACAAGGCCAAGATAGTGAAGCTTCTGAGACACTAAGATGGTAAAATCAGGGATGCCTGGGTGGCTCAGCCAGTTAAGCGTCTGCCTGCAGCTCAGGTCATGACCTCAGGGTCCTGGGATCAAGTCCCATGACCTGCTTCCTGCTCAGCAGGGGGTCTGCTTGTCCCTCTTCCTCTTCCCCTCCCTTCCTCCATACTCGTGCATGTGCCCTCTCTCTCTCTCTCAAATAAATAAAATCTTAAAAAAAAAAAAAAAGATTTTAAAATCACAAGACAGGCATTTATACACCAGCAACTTACTGCAGTCAAAAATGATTTCTGACAAAATGACTTACTTACCTTCCTTGTCACTGGAAACCTGGTCCCCAGAGAAAAATGCATTTGCCTGTACCCGGGCACTGACATTTATGTTATTGATTTTTAAGGCTGATACGGTCTGATGAACCTGTGAAGTAACCAAAAAGGAAACATCAGGGTATTTCCAACTAACGTTAGAAATCCACCACCTTCCAGATGGTTCTCAATCCATTTAAGATGCAGGAAGAATATCTGAGGATCTAGAAATGTCTTCACTGGTATCAGACGAAGAGAGATGGCCACAGCATTTTGGCATGATGTCATGACATGGACTTTTTAAGGCCTACACAATATGAGAGCACTGGCTCTGGAGTTGGGCTGCTTGGGTATGCTTTGTGACCATGGACTACTTACTTAACCTCTCTGTGCCTCTATCTAACGGGGACATGAGTAGTATCTAATGCATAGTACAGCGGTGAACATTAAATGAGTTCCTGTAAAGCCCTTAGAACAGAACCCGGCACAAAGTTAATATGCAATCATTTTTCTAAATAGAATAAATCATAAATTTTCTGCTTCCTAAAAATTTAAGAAAAGAGACACAATCAATAAATATAAACATAACTTTGCTATTCATGTCATTATCATTTGCTAAGGACAAAAACTAAATGCCAAGATCCTTCTCAGGACTTACCCTGATTCTTCACTTACTATTAATGCAGATAAGGGTGAATGGTGGGGGCACTTTTGAAATCCTTCCACTACTTCGGATAGGAGTGACCTAACTCTGCAAGGTTCATTTCCATGTTTCCAGGTTCTCCATGTGCCCCATAACATGATATGACAAGCATGTTTTTACATACAAGATATAAGAGAATCTTAGGAATCCATACTATACTGGTATCCACTGAACTTGAAAAACTTTGTTATCAATAGACTTGGTCTGGTGAGATTCTTAATGAGTGTCAAAGTACACAATTTTCTTAGACCAGTGGCTTTCACAGTGGTTTGTTTGTACTATAAACACAGCAAGAAAATACACAGCAACCCAATAAAAATATATGTTTCAAAGAATCATACTTAATACTTGTCCTTACTCTGTGCTATATTTTAATACATCCCATCCCATCCCATCCCATCCCATCCCATCCCATTCCATCCCATCCCATCTCATTCCATTCCAAGAGAAATACTGGCTGTGACCCACTAAATCAATTTGAAAAACACTGCCCTAGACCTGATAGTCTAGCTCTAGCATTTTAGGATCACTAAAATCCCTCGAGCAACCAGACGCCGAGAGTGAGGCACACTTCCTCTGAGCCTGAATCGCGTCTGCCTCAGACCCCTGCCTTGCTGTGTGAACGAAACCTCTGAGACAACAGCAGGACTAACAGCAGCAAATGTGCATCCACATTACCTGGCGTGGAAGACGCAAATCTACCATCACCAAGTAGTGAGAACTTCTTTCGTCCAATGGTGAGGATCACGGGCAATGGGGATACAGGTCAAAGGAAAATGTCAAGCTAACTCCAGAGATGAGTTAGGGAGGATGAAAAGTAAAAGATTTCTTTTCACATTTGGATATCTTTTTTTTTCTTTTTTAAAAGATTTTATTTATTTATTTGACAGACAGAGATCACAAGTAGGCAGAGGGGCAGGCAGAGAGAGAGGAGGAAGCAGGCTCTCCACGGATCAGAGAGCCCGATTCGGGGTTCCATCCCAGGACCCTGGGATCATGACCTGAGCTGAAGGCAGAGGCTTTAACCCACTGAGCCACCCAGGCGCCCCTCATATTTGGATATCTTTATATAGGTTTTCTCTTTTAGCTGGATATATAAGATGGCCATTTGATTCACACTTAGCACCTTCTCTAAACAGTTTTTTAAAAAAGAGCATTAAACTTTTTTTGCCATAAGGTATTAGAGATGTACTATACCTTTTTTTCCAGCCACTTTATTGTCTTCTCTTTGCTGTACTTGTAATATTTCTTTTTGTCTATTTCTGGATTAAGGAGAAAAAACCAGAAAAGTGTATTAAACAAAAAAATAAATTAATAAAGCTATATAAAGACATATATATATATACACACACACATATATATAATATCAACAATTTAAAAATGTTTCATAACAGTTTATACTCTTGAAAAACTCAATTTATAAGCCTAAGAGCATACTTGAGAGGTTAAAAAAAATCCCCAAACAGAACTTAGGCACCTCAGGTTTCATTCAACCAACAAATGAATGGGAATTTAAGCAAATCATCAAATAATACTACAGTTCTCATCCCAAGGAGAAATTTTTCTCTTTTCTTTTTATTATATCTTTATGAGATAACAGATGTTAATTAAACTTATTGTGGTGATCAATTCATCAAACCTGTGAGTCAAACTATTATGCCTTATACCTTAGACAATGATGTGTATCAATTACTTCTTAATAAAACTGGAAAAAAGTATGAAAACAAATCTGTAGAAAATCTCTAATTTTTACAACTCAGCAAATTAACATGCTAAGGAACCTTCATTTTTGGAACTGATCTGAAGCTTAGTTCAGTATTTTCAATGAGACTTCTTTTCTAAAATAAGGATGGAAATCCCAAGAAAGGAAACTGAAAGTAAATGCGGATGCGCTGCAGACACTGAGGGAAAAAATCTTGTTAACTACTTGGTACTCTCCTGGTGGGATTAGCAAGAAAGAAGAAAAGATTATGCCTATCTTTGAATGCATTACCAGTATAACCATGACTATGTTTCAGGAGAATTTGGATTTATGATAGGCTTGACCTGGCCCTTTTTGGGGATAAAAGTGCCACCTCTTCTAAGTTACACTTCCGTCCTTCACAATCCACCTAGCTTTACATACTTTGACATGAGCTGTTATTTCCTCGGTAACACTTCATTCATAGAGTTTCTTGCTTTCTGTGCAATCGGCAGAGGCAGAGGCCTGCACTCCCAGCCTCCTGCCTCATGCAGGAGTGATCTTTGGGACCCCTGGAAATCGTAGGGCCAGATGCAAACTCCCCCCATGTGACTTGGCTAGCCATGTAGAATGGCATTTTCTCTTTCCTCCATATTCATCATGGGAGATGGAAATGCTTATTCAGGGATCATTTTCAGCAGTCTGTTACGTTGCTTGCCTTCCATGAAATGGTTTATATATATGGGAGAGGGGCTGGCCTTAGCTCCTGTATGTGTCCTTCCCCATTCCAGCCTGTGGTTGTTAACACTGTGGGCGATAGGAGGCAAGATGGAGGGAGGGCTGGGCCTCTGCACCCATCTCCTTGGGATGTGTCAACAGGAATCATGGAGGAGAGACAGTTGCAAATGGCATTGTCAGAGTTTGAGGATTCCAAGGGGCAACAGTTGCTGTGCGGGAGTCAGGGGCAAACCTGGGCAAAGAGCCTGCTGTGGAACCAAGGCAGGTAAAACTGGACTCAACTTCCCTGGAGACAGTGTCCCGCCCACGTACAAAAATAAGGGGAATTCTAAGAGCACACAGCAATCACTCAATAAATATACACTGTCATGTGGGTTAAAACTTCTAAAGAAGCTCCCTTCATTGCCTGAGATAAATCTCCAAAGAAGTTCAGTGTAGAGATCTCTCCTAAGAAATCCCATCTAGACTCTTCTACTCACTTCTCTCTTGCCTCTGATGTCCACATTTCTTGAAAGAATGTTCTACAACGTTTCCTTCCTCGCTCGCACTCCCTGAGACCCTTGTAGGCCCTTCCTTAATCCTCTTGAAAATGCTCTGTTGGTAGAAGTGGACACCACAGGCTCTGGGCCATACTGCCTGGGCTCTGACATACCCAGTGCAGATTGATTTTCTAATGTTCAACCAACTCTGCATTCCTGCGATAAATCCCACTTGGTTATAATATGTTATCCTCTCTATACACTTGATTTGCTAATATTTTATTAGGAATTTTTCAGCCTATGATCATAATGGATATTGGCCTGGTTTTCCTTCTCTCTCTCTTTTTTTTTTAAGATTTTATTTATTTATTTCACAGACAGAGATCACAGGTAGGCAGGCAGAGAGAGGGGGAAGTGGGCTCCCTGCCGAGCAGAGAGCCTGATGCAGGGCTCGATCCCAGGACCCTGGGATCATGACCTGAGCCAAAGGCAGAGGCTTTAACCCACTGAGCCACCCAGGCACCCCGGCCTGGTTTTCCTTCAAAAGTAATTTGGTATTGGGATAATTCTGGCTTCATAAAATTAGTTGGGAAATATTCTTTTCTCATGTAATTTCTAAAAGGTTTTGTGTAAGTATCATTATTTGAGTATTAGTTCTATCTTAAGGCATGGCAGAATTCATCAGTGATGCTAATTGGGCCTGGAGGTTTTTTCCTAGGAAGTTTTAAACTGTCAGTTTACTTCTAACTGAATACTCCTTGGACAAGAATAAGCACTAAGAAATATCCAACTTGGATATCCCAGGATGCTACAAAAGGACCAAGTGCAAAAACTGCTTAATTTTGAAATTCGCAAATTTCGATAAGGGGGTTCAAAATATTCATGAAGGCCACGTGTTACCCAAAATTATGAAAAATACCATGTCTGTTCACGTCTTAAATTTAATATTCGCAAGAGTTAGTGAGTTAGATAATATGTGCATATGCTGGAAAGGTTTCTTTCCTTAATGTGTCTGGTGCCTATAAAACTGGTCTCAAACATCTGGAAAGATTGGGTTTACAAAATAAGGATGGAATAAAAGTGAGTCCACAATTAAATAACATGTTCAGCAATTGGGTAATCGGCTCACAATCCTGAATTTCCCTGATGTATTATTGAACAAACTGCCTAGAGCACATTTTCACATCTACTTTCCCAATGTTTTCCATAACAGAAACTCATATAGTCTCTTTTTTTTTCCTGCCTCCTGGGGACAGAAACTTGGCAACTGTACTTGGGGTATTTTAATCAGGTAAGTTTTCCTGGCTCTTCTTGTTAATCACATCAGACAGACCAGTGCAGCTCTGGCTTGCAATATGAAACAGTGTGACACTCAAGATGAAGTTCATAACCCTTTATGAGGCCCTTCCCCTGTCATCCCTCCACTGAATGTGAGCTTCTTCGGCAAGAAGTGATTGAGCCCCAGAGCTAGCAAACACAGACACATCATCTCCTTCACTAGTAGAGCAGGCAGTGCTATCTAAGGTCACCGCCATTGTCATTTAGGATACAAACAACTGGGGCTGGGTTTACTGGGCAGGGACGAGGTGGGTAGGGGGAGGTGCTCATAAACCTAGAGGCTTAACCAGATCTTTAATGCCACAGACTTCTGAGACAGCATCTGAAGTCTAATACTGAAACAGCTGCCTGGGGAATCTGAGTGTTTCAGGTTTTGCTCTATCTGCAGAGTGCCTATGGAGAGAATGGACGTTAGAGACCGTCAGCTCTCTCCTTCGTCTTTGCTCCCTCTCCTGGATATCACCTGACCACTCCTTAGCAGTCCTCTTTGTTTCTTTTGAAAATCCTAGCAATAAAATATGGAACGGAACCAAACAGTAATTTATAAATGGACAGTAAGCTAAATTCGAGTAGGCAGCTGGGTCTATCGCTGAAAGGAGGGAAATGGGCGCCTGAGAATAGAAAGCTCACTGCCGGGATGAGAATCGTCTTTTCCTTATGTTATCATAGTTCTCCGTCTTTCCTGTCTCCCTCTTTTTGCCTCACAAAGGGAAATTATGAAGACGGGATACACAAGATTTTTTTTTTAAAATAAGTTTCTGTCTTTACATGAGATACCACCTAACAGCTCCACCCGAGTGTTCTGGAAGGTGTGGCACAGTTGCAAGAAGGAAAGAGTGGCTGTCAGACACAGGCTTCAGTTCTGGTTCCCCGGCTTCTACGTCTTTGACACTAGTCCAGTAACTTCACCTCTTTGAGACTTGGTCTCCTCATTTGTAAAAATGCAGGTTGTAACAATAACAAGAGGCAATTACTGAAAGGATACGATGATAATAACTTTGCATTAGATAGTAGATATTTTTATTATTACCACTTATCCCCAATCTACTTAAACCACTTCAATACGTATTTAGCAATGGACCATCAAACAGATGTGTATGGGTGTGCCCAGTACTTACACATCAGCAAAGAATTAATAATTTCTACAGAAGTCTTAATAGTACTTATATTTACTGAGCTTTTACTGTCTATCCAGTACTCTCTGGGCATTGATTTACCTCTATTACATAATTTAATTCCAGAAACATCTCTTTATGGTAGACACCAGATACTATTAACTGCAATACTTAAATAATGTTCACATCCTGGTTACTCAATAATTTCAACACTATAAAGCTAAAAGAATAAAATCATTGCTTTATTTTATGATACAGAACAACTTTGTAAAGTACTAATTATAATGTATGGGGGATATTCTCAACCCTTCAAAACTCTTCATCTGACAGATCAAGGATACTGAAAAGTTTGAATGATTTCTTCAAAACTGTATAGCAAATATACTTTTAATTTTCCTTGCAGGCCATCAGATCCTGCAATCAGATTACCAGACTGTTCTTAAAGAAATTCTTTCCCCAAAAAGAAACGAAGCAAATACAATAAAATATTAACATTGGTTGATTATTGGATTGAGTACTAAATAATATTTGCAGTTTTTTAATTTGAATTTTTTCTATCTTTAATTTTCTTAAGTTAAAATAATTGTTTTACCAGTCCCTGTACTTTCATTTTCAAAGCAGATATATTATCAGCCTATATATTTTTCAAGTTTCTAACAGACTAGGCCTCAAATTTTTCTTTCTTTCTTTTCTAGTGATAGTAAGGCAAAACATAAAGTGAAAATTCAGCTTAAATTTCATCTAGTAAAAGATGTATGCCATTCTTTCTAAAAGTCTTGACAGTTTCTTCATAATCAAATTCTTCTCCTAATAAATGACATCTGTATATCCTAAAATAATGGAAGATTTAAAAACAAAACCAAAAATTTTAAAAATGAGAAAAAAAATGATATAGAAATAGTAGGATATCTTACATCTCTTAAAAATGCATCATCCTGAAAAAGTCCTCTTCATCAAAATACACATAAACAATCTCACATTACTTGCCTTACCCCTTAACCCAGAACACAAATATGTGAAATATTTTCTTTATGTCAGTTCTGTATACAAGGTCAGCATACTGAGATAGAAATCTTTTCCCATGAAGATCCAAAGGGAAATTCATAGTATTTTGAAGTTTATTTAGAGTTGGTCCAACAAGATAAGCATAGGACATGCACTTTCTCCAGCAGCTGAACTCCAGCCATCAGGCAATGTTGAGGAGTGAAAGAGATTAGGATAGGAGTTCAGATAATGATTTAATCAATGGTCAGGGGTTCCAAGTGAAAGAAGGAAGGAATGAGAGAGAGGGAAGCTCTTGTTTTGAAATGCAGGTTATAACAACTAACAAATGCCAGTGCATTAACACTTTCTGAATCTGGGTTTCTGGGTTTTGGTTTAAGATAACTGCTCTTTATATAGCTCATGTAAACATTTGGGATAATGAATTAATTCCATTTTCAATTTACGTTAGCTTGGCAAAATTAAAATGACTTATACTTATCCCTCATTATTTAAGCTTTCAGAAATGGCTATAAGCCACTTCATTTGTTCACCCACAAAAAGACTGTTAACTCCTCCAAGCTCAGCATCGGGGAATGTCTTTAATGGGACTGTTTTGATAAAACCTTGGTGCCACATTCCAAATCCAAAATGGAGCCCTAAGCTTGGTCAAGGGTGATTTAGCTAAACCTAAAATGTAAAATGTTATCAGCAAGGTTCTCCCCTTTCCCACTGTAAGCTTACACTTCCTGGAACCACGATTTTGTTGGGCTCAGAACCGTTATGGTTGCCAAACCAACCATGAACAACCACAGCTCATCAGCCTGTTGGTTCGGTTCCCACACTCTATGTCCATGTTAACCCTGAAGCTACTTGGATGACTTTTTGGAGACACGGATGCTAAGTTTGTATAGTGTTTCCAACTTAACAAAACATACTCACATATGCTCACATATGCTTTACTTCCTTCTCTCAAAATTCAAATGAAAAGTATCTACAACTCCTCTCTTCAGTAGCCTCAGCCTCTTCCCACCCGTGTCTCCAGGAGGCCACCCTCACCGCAGATCAGGGCACAGCTCAACAGTCATCCCTGACTCCTCTGCTATCTTGACTACCACCCAATACCGAATGACGCTGGTTCTACCACTTGGGGCTATTACCCGCTAGGTCCGGTGCTAAGTTCAGGCTACCATCATTCTACTATAGCAGCCTCCGTGGACCTGACCTTCGATTCTCCAGGTTTTCCACATTATAGCCCTGCCCTGCTCAAACTCTGCTGACGCTCCGCTACCATCAAACAAAGTCAGACACACATTAGGCCCTTCATCATCTGAACCTTGCCCTGCATGGGCAAGGGTAGAAACCCCTTTCCTTCATTCCCGACCTTCATGTACTCCTGGCATTCTATACTCTGGCTAACCTGAACTCCTTAGAGGTTCTTACACATGACGAACTTTCCCATACATCCATGCCTCCGTTATGCTGCTACTCTGACTCACCCTTCAAGGCTCCACTTAGAGGCCCTCTCCCCCAGGACAGCAACACCATAGCCAACTCCCTGCACTCCCCAGCCACCAGATTATAAATCTGTCCTGTGCATCCCCAGAAAGCCAGGAGTTCACTTTGATTACTCTCTGCTCTCACTGCCCTATTTGCATTTGCCCCCAATAGACTCAAAGCCTAGAAAGGAAAGGATAATGTCTTATTTATGACTAGTTTAACTCTAGTGATCAACATATGCTTCTTCGCAGGCATTCAATAAAAACTTCTTGATTTAATGAAGGTACAGGCTTTATGTAATTTTACAAGAGAGAAATCTGAGGCAGAAAACAGTCAAGGAACTTAACTGAAGTCACAGACTAGTTCAAAGAAGAACTGAGACCAAAGCCCAAGCCTCGTGATTTCTGGCCCTGTGGGAGACAGGCCACCATATTCCACTGGTTAGAATTTCCAACACTGAACAGTCCAGTGCAACAGAGGACTAGCACTGACGAGCGGAAGCAAGTCTGAATGACAGCTTCCCCTCCGACTGACATAGAACAGGCCTTATATTCAGAGGGACAGGCGCCCAGCCTTTCCAGCAGCCATAAGCCTGATTTCAAAGGCCATATACTCTACCTTTCTCCTCTGTCACATGTCGAAGTAACTTCTCGAGATCAGGAAGTTTCAGCAACAAGATGCAATTTGGAAACATGTCATCCACCACAACTTGATTTAGGGGCTGGAATTTTCCCTGAAAAAAGACTTCATTCAGTCAGAAGGCAAGCACTCCAGTCAGCAAACTCACACATTAGAAAAAAAAGAAAAAGATATATCATCTCATAGCTGGACCTTTAAACTGAGTTCAAAGTCACTTATCTCACCTAAAGAACCCCTCCACTGGGACAGGCTCCAGAATGGACTCTCAGGTCCCTCTAGGAAGCTCTTGAAAGCCCTGGGGTTCCAACCAGCATACCACCCATATCAAAAGTACAGTCACAGGAGGGAAAAGTTCTAGAAGAGCGCTAGAAGCCGTGGAAGCTTACGGAAATGGTAGAGATTGCACTGGGTTAGTCCAACCCATTCACTGTGAGAAAGAACCAACTGAGGTCACAGAGCAGGGGTCCTAACCATCACTCAGGAAAAAGCCCAGATCACACACAGAGCAAATAGCTTCCCTCCCTATCCTTACCCCAGGGCTGAAGAAAGAAATGCTACAGCAAGGAGAAAATTACCAAAATGAATCTGCTCCTGCCAGAACTATCTGATAGTGCTTCCAAATGTAGACCATGATAAAAGAAAAGATAGCCAGAGGGATAAGTACAAGGAAGCTATACACATATTAAATCAGGCCCATCTCCAGAGTTGTGCAAGGCCTGGTAGCCAATGGGCCAGAATTCAGAACATAGAAGTTCAGAATATTCTTCTTCTCAATCAGGTTATTTTTACTTAACTGTGCAGGAGCATGGAGTCTGTCTAAATCATTACACCCTTGACTTGGAAATAGTGAACTTTATAAAAAAATGTATGGTTCTGCCCATGTCCCACTTTTAGCTCACTCTGCTTTTCTGTCTTGGTGACAACTCCATTTGGAGACAAAGAAACCGTCTGATCAGTTTTCTTTCTGCAAATGCAGCTTTCTTTGGTTTGAAGGGTGAAATCTCATTCATTCAGTAGCATACGTCAAAGCTTGTCATACTTTCTGTTAAGTCAACGAGTGGCAAGAAATGCCTCAATTTCAATACTGTCTTCTTCCTTCAGATAGTAACAATATCCACACATTTTCCAAGTCTGCCTGTCTTTAGATATCTACCTTAATGTATATTCTTTCATGGTCAACAAGTATTTTAAGTATTTAGCAATTTAAAACAATAATCATATACAATGAACTGCCACACAGTTATGTTAATTTCATAAGTAATTAATATTTCATTCTCACTTTCTTTACCATATATACTCAAAAAGGTAATACAAGAAGCAACTTGTTTTGAATATAAAGTTAGTAACAGTTGGGATAGCTAGAAATTCTAGAAGAACTTTTCTGATGTTAAATCTTATGATTAAAAAAGCCCAGGTCAACATTTCAAAAGTGCATACCAATATTCTTTAACTCAATAAGAAAATATTGTGTCTAACATGCAGGGAAGGAAATACCTAAATGTTTCATGAGTTATTTTATAGTGTACTTCAAGTATTTGAGAAGAAAACGTAAGATGGTTTACAGTGAAAGCCAATCACCACTCTGCTTCATTCTGTGTCTGATGACTTGAAACAGCCCTCCGGACTCCCAAGAGGCCCAGGGTGAGGGTAATTCATCATGGTCATGGTTTCAGTGGGACACAGGGAAACAACCCCACAACATGGGGGGAGGGGCTTTAAATGTGCATCAGTACAGGTGCTAAGGCTGGCTGGTGACTTTCCCTCTGTTAATGTAACCTAGAAAACAAATGGGAGCCAAGTGAAGTATTCAACTGAATACTATCAGCTCCTTGCTTCTGGTGGTGACCAGACCATTTCTGTTCATTTAGAGATGAAGACTTACTGTCCTCGCCGCTCATATACCCTAAATATGCTGGCTCCATGGTAGCTTCCAGAGAATGAGCACCATGAATGAAGTAAGGAATAAAACTTCGCCAATCCAGGGTAACGGACAGAGGATGTAGGAAAGGAGGGGAACAAAGAGGCTAAGCTGCTTCCAGAGACAGCGTGACTTAAAGTTCGAAGTCCGTTTTATTGCTTTTGGTTTTTACAGCAAATTAAACTGATAAACCCACCGTATGGAAGTTTTGGAAATTTGGTGTAAGGACTAAATAAGACAAGCCCATAAACATTTAAACTATATAAGCAAATATCAGAGTACAAAGACCAGATTCTTCTAAGCAGTTTAAAATAACACTTATTCCTTAAAATTGTTAATTCACAGATTTTCAGACTGTGGTTGGTAGATGCTGGGGGGTGTCTCAGACCCTTTCAGGGGGTCCAGAGCTCAAGACTATTTTCACAATAATGCTAGGATGCTATCTGCATCTTCAGTGTGCTGACATGTGCACGGCCAAGGGAGGAAGAACTGCAGGCTTCTTAGCACCAGTCATGGCCACGGCACCAACCTGTCCTGCAGCTCCTGTGCTCTTCACTGCCACGCAGGCAGGTAAAAAAAAAAAAAAAAGGAAAGAAAGAAAGAAAGAAAGCCAGTGTCACTTCAGGATACCCTTGATCAAGGAGTAAAAGCAATTACTTTTAGTTAAACCTTGACCCTGAGTGCAAATCTTTTAAATATTCTCTGTGTTAAAAGTGATGCTGAAGCCCCTTCTGCTGCTACCCAGGTGCAGTAATCACCTCAAGGAAAAGTGCTTGCATCACTGAGTCAAAGGCAGAAATAACTACTTTTTGTGGGATACCATTTTTAACTGAAAAAACCATTACGGACTAGTGCTGTTCAGACATGGGTATTTGGCAGAACATAAAAGAAGTGAGCCTGTGACTTCAAGGAAAAGACTGAAAGTACTTGCAGCCGGTGATACAATTTTAACTTCTAAGCCAAAATTAGAATTGTAGAAACGTTTATCTGCTATGACAGCATCCCAATATATAGTTTTCTGATGAGATCAGTGGTGATATTAACAGAGGAGGGAGAGAGAGAAAGGAGATGTGTTAACATTTGGAAGATCTGCAGAAATCGGTGGAGCAGTATTTTCCAAATGACCAAGACATGATATTACAAAGTCCTACATGGGTAAAAAAATCCATTCTCGGTACAAGGCAAACCAATGGATTCTCATGTAAACAGAACACAGGAAATTCACTGACAGGGTTTCAGATTCTACACTGCAATGGATTTCTAAGAAACCACTTCCCCTTGTTGGTTTTTAGATTAGTATCAAAGAATACAGTTATCTGAAAGTGCTATTGTACCAGTCCTCCCTTTTCGGACTCCATGTCTGTGTGAGGCTGCAAATTCTTCATACACCTCCACGGAAACAATACACGGAAATGGACCGAATGCGGAACCAGATAGGAGAATCTCGATGTCCTCTATTCAGCCAGACATCAACAAGATTTGCAAAACTGGAAAACGCCGCACTCTTCACTGAATTTTGTTACTTGTTTCATTAAAAACGTGTTATTTATGGGAACACGTAGTGGGCTCATTATTTTTATTTCAAAATAAATTAATAGAACTATTTTAAGTTTCTCAGTTTTAATTTTTAATGCAGTAAATATCGATAGACAAAACCCACAGGAACAAAAAGCTTTTGGGGATCCTAAAACATTTTTAGAAGTACAAAGGTATCTTAAAACCTAAATGTTTTCGAACCTCTGACTGAAACGATTACTGTTAATGAACGCTTTTATTGGAAGGGTGTATTTCAGTTACATAGGATTCCTTGAGTCGCAAGTACAGCTTCCAGGTTAGTGAGCTTTTACTAGGCACACCCCAGCTGACCTATTTAACATCGCACAGAAAGAAAATGAAAGAAAATGTATTCTTTCCTCTCTTAAGGGCCAGGGTCAGTTTCTTAACATTTGTATTGTATTTCAAAACGAATGAGTACTTAACGATAAAATCCTCCTCAACCTTAGGCTTTTTGTCAAACAAGTAAATCATGGGGCATAGAGGACTAGGCCAGTCATAAGTGTCACAGGTAAAGCAGTCAGAGATGAGTGCAGGTACTCAGGTTTCTGTCAGTGCTCTCACCCACCCCAGCACACGTGATACAGGTGTTCTAGACCAAATCTACCAACCTGAATCAAACCAAATTATATCTGAATTGTTGGGACTCTACATTTGGGTCATTAAAAGGAGAGAAAGAAGATCAAGCAAAAAACGATCTATTCTGTTCCCTCACTGTTAAAGTCCCAAACAGAGAAACTCACCTCTTTACCAGTCTTTCTGAGGTAGTGGAGAAGCAGAAATAGAGGGTCCATGGGTGTGGCAAAGTGGAGAAGACCTCCTACAGATTAAAAAGAGAACAAAAGGATTTAAATGTCTTAGAAAGACAACTTAGTGGGGCGCCTGGGTGGCTCAGTGGGTTAAAGCCTCTGCCTTCGGCTCAGGTCATGATCCCAGAGTCCTGGGATCGAGCCCAGCATCGGGCTCTCTGCTCAGCAGGGAGCCTGCTTCCTCCTCTCTCTCTGCCTGCCTACTTGTGATCTCGGTCTGTCAAATAAATAAATAAAAATCTTAAAAAAAAAAAAAAAGAAAGAAAGACAACTTAGTTATAATCCCAATATGGAAACCATTCCTTGAAAAATATATGTGAAATTCTAAATTCAGAAGCTCTTCTTACATAGGCGCATGATTCTACATGACTCTTTTGAAAGGCAGAATGTGCTACGGTAAGTGTAGTCACCATCTGTCAGCACACAACATTATTACAGTCTTACTGATAGACTCTATGCTGTACTTTTCACTTCTGTGACTTGTTTATTTTACAACTGGAAGTCTGTACCTTTTCATCTCCTTTATTTATTTCAGCCACCCCCCAACCCACCTTCCTTCTGGCAATCACTAGTTTGCCCTTTGTATTTAAGAGTCTGTTTTTTGGGGAGTGGCTGGGTGGCTCAGTCAGTTAGGCATCTGCCTTTGGCTCAGGTCATGATGGGGGTGGGTGCCTGGGATTAAGCCCCGTGTTGGGCTCTCTGATCAGTGGGGAGTCTGTGTGTCTCTATCCCCAACTTGTGCTCTCTCTCAAATAAAGAAAATCTTTAAAAAAAAAAAAAAGAATTTTTTTTAAATTTGTTTCTTTTTTATTGTTTGGTTTCTTAAATTCCATTTATGAGTGAAATCATATGGTATTTGTTTTTCTGTCTGGCCTATTTCATGTAGCATTATACCCTCTAGGTCCATCCATGTTGTCACAAATGGCCAGATCCCATTCCTTTTTATGGCTGAGTAATAATCCATTTTAAGTGTAAGTGTGTCTGTGTGTATCTATCTATCTATAGATATGTATCTATATACATATAGATATAGATAGACATCTATATGTACATATACTATATGTATATATCTATATCTATATGTACATATAGATAGATATAGATATATGTCCTCAGGAAAGGGAAACAAAAGCAAAAATGAACCATTGGAACTACACCAAAAAAAAAAAAAAAAAAAAAGATCTGCAGTGAAGGAAGCCATCAACCAAAGGAAAAGGCAACTACCAAATGGAAAAAGATATTTGCAGATGATATATCCCATAAAGGGTTAATACCCAAACTACATAAAGAACTTGTATAACTCAATCCCAGAAAAACAAATAATTTGATTAAAAATGGGCCAAAGACTTGAATAGACATTTTTTCAGAGAAGACATACATGACCAACAGACCCATGAAAAGATGCCCAACGTCACTCAACATCAGGGAAATGCAAATAAAAACCACATTGAAATATCATCTCCCACCTGTTAGAATGGCTAAAATCAAATACAAGAAATAATAATAATAAATGAAAATAATAAAAAATATAATAAATAACAAGTGCTGACAAGGATGTAGAGAAAAAGGAACCCTTGTGCACTACTGGCAGGAATGCAAACTGGTTCAGCCACTGTGGAAAACAGTATGGAGGTTCCTCAAAAAAGTAAAAATAGGAATATCATATGATCCAGTAATTCCACTACTGGGTATTTACCCAAAGAAAATAAAAACACTAATTCAAAAAGATACATGCACCCTGATGTTTACTGCAGCATTATTTACAATAGCCAAGGGATGGGAACAATCTAAGTGTCCACTGAAGGATGAATGAATAAAGAAGATATGAAATATTTAGAAATCATTTTTTATTGTGTTTTTATTGTGTTATGTTAGTCATCATTAGTTTTTGATGTAGTGTTTTGTGATTCATTGTTTGATGTAACACCCAGTGCTCATTGCAATACGTGCCCTCCTTAATACCCACCACCAGGCTAACCCATCCCCTCTCCCTCCTCCCCTCTGAAACCCTCAGTTTGTTTCCCAGAGTCCATAAAAATCATTTTTAACAGAGGTCCTCCTACCACCCCCAAAAAGGGCAAAGTTGGGGGAAATACTGACAAAACGTGAACCAGGCAAACATTAGGAGACCTGTATGTGTAAGTTTATCTATAAAGCTGCAGTAAAATGTCATTTTCTATGCGTTTGAGGATGAAGCCATGGGCAAGCAATATTATTCTCTCCATGAATAGCTCCTTCTATGGTCTGTGCGTTCACAGCTTGGAATTGCCAATAATTCAAAGCTGAGAAGGTAGTTCCCCACCTGAGACCCCACCCTATTCAGACCTTACCCTATCCTCCTACTCCCTAAGGAAAAGGCAAGAGGAAACAAGTCGAACAAGACTGAACATAAGGAACAGGAGACTCTGTAGTAAGGTTACTATCCAGGCTAGAAGGAAAAGAAGCAAATCAAGAAAACTAACTACCTAGTCCCCACTCCTCCTTCCTTTATCACAGCCTCGCTAAGCTCCTTCTTACACACTCCTTCTTCCATGGAGGTGAACGAGAAGAGATATTTCATCACATGGAACAATAAACAATTCCTTTATCTTTATATTTATTTTGGTTTCAGGAAACATATGTACTTTCTTTGATTCCCTAACAGAGCAACCTACCTATACAACCAAGAAATTCTAACCCTAAATTATATATATGATTTCAATTCACAGAAAGTAAAAAAACATTAAGAAAGTAATTTCATATTATGATATTACTTGATTATTTTTTTAAAGTAGAAGAGAAACTTATGAAAACAACCTATCAGAAGCTCTAAGCTCATTTTATATGAGGCATCCGTGATAGAAATTAGGAACAGGTTTCTAGTTCTGAAAACAATATCCTGGTGGCTATTCTTAAAAGCAGCTCTTTATTCAAGGCTAAGTTTAAAAAGAAGACAATGATGAAAAAAGCAGGCACCTTTGCTATGAACATAAAACCACTCAAATAAATAAGGTCTATTAAAAAGAAAAAAAAGCAGGTACCAACTCAGACAGTCCAGGAGAGGTGATCAATCACTGCCTCCCAATATTTCCCAGTTTCATCAGGATATTATTGTGTCTACCTAGCTAAACCCAACTGCAAGTGTATTACGTTAGAAGTTAGAACTCTCATACTTTGCCAAACGAATAAGCATAGCAGCAACAATAAAAGGGAATATATACTTTCCACCTGCCAGACTCTATCACAGTCCTGCCATTGCATTTTGGCAACTGAAAGCCATTTCAAATATTTTCATGCACACAGGTATATGAAATTTATCACCAACAATAAACTCTTGTTCTGGAACGTCCTAGAAGAAAGACAAATTGGCCTTTCTACATTGGCTCTAAGTGGAGACATACACAGTCAACAGAAAGCAGAGGGCTTACAAAGAAATAGAAAATACTCTCAGGAAACAATGAGAACACAGGTAGAGGGAATGTACAATGGCCTCAACTATCGCTGACTCGCCCTTCCCCCGACTCCTTGAACCATCAGAACATGTGGAATCCTTTCGCCTTCTGACTCAACACTGCCCCCAAATTAGAGGAACATTAAAAGAATCAGAACTTTGGGGTTGGGTATGTGTGTTGGGGGAGTGAAGGGTGGGGACAGTAGTAATTTTATGACGACACGTTAAAAAAATCTTTGTTATATTCTATTTCATTTTAGAAGTGCATCCATTTGCACAGAAGTAAGACGTTAACACCTGAAGATCCTCAAAAGTGTCTAAAAGAAGAACAAAGAGTTCCCAGTCCACACAGTGTACGTTCCCGTGTTAGAAAAATGACCTAATTCCCGACCGGGGAGGCATCTGTGTTTTAGGAGACAAAGTGGAGTTACTAGTTTAAATTCGCCTACTATCTAAGATACATAGATACTGATTTAAACTTGTTCAAACCATCTTTCCTTTCCCCCTGATTAAATCCTGCTCTGATGCCAAGGAAGGCCAAAACATGGACCAGACTCCAAACTGGGCAGATAGGCCTGCACTCCAACGCATGAAGGATGGAAAAGCTAGAGTATGTGTTTAGTTAACAGAAATATATACACTAGTCACTTACCTGATTGGACTGATTGATTTATAAACCAAGAATGGTGTTTTTCCTTGAAAACTTTTATTTCAAACAGCTGCTGTTGACACATATTGAACAAGTAAATGGTTCCTTCCCCTGTTAAGACAGATCTGTTTTTTATTTGTAAGTTTTCACACACACACAAAATCAAAAGACTGTCCAATAGTTCTGAGGAATGTTCCTAATATGGACATAAACATACATAGATATATTCTATACAAACTGACTCTGAGGAAAGTTTATAGCTATTATATACAGATGCTTGTTTCTCAGATCTATAATCCTCACTGAACTTAAACCAATAAATTAAAAAAAAAAAAAAACGCAATCATTCATCTTAACTGCTACAAAGCCTCTCATTGACTCCTCCATTAGATCGCAAGGGGAAACCAGTTCTTAAACTACCCAAGCCTGGCGCTTCTGCCAGATGAACTGAGCTGGCATGTGGGTCCTGTCACCAGAGGGACCAAGATAGACCCTGAGGGCCAGCACTAAGTGAGAAAGGCAAGGGCCCTTTGATGCATGAAATTTTTTTCTAAACACAGCACTATCAAGAACCCTGAGTTTGAATCTATGTGGACCACATGCTGGGCGTGTGCCTTTGAGGAAGTTGTGCAAACCTTTTGGTGCCTCTGTTTCCGTATCTGTAAAATGGAAGCAATAGGGAACCTACTTCACAGGGTTTTGTAAGGATCAGAAAGGCAGAACACATGTAAATTTCCTAAAATAGTATATGTTCAGCACATGTTAGCCTTTATTTTTCCAGTCAATGTAGTAAATGCGAATATTTGTTCCTCTGTTGTTTATGGACATGTAGATAAAACAGAAATTTTACAAGAAGCCTGACTTTTTTGTATACCTTTACTTTCATTAAATGCTTTACAACCTTTACTGCTACCTAAAACTTCTCTAGAAAAAAATGTGAAAAAAAAATTAGAAGTTAAAGATAATAGGAATCTTCAATTCAAATTCAATTCCATCTTGAGGAAAAGGAAACTGGAAGAAGCCTGGACTTTTTGCCTTTTTTGTGGCTTCTATTTATGTCTTTCCATCAACAATGGTAACAAGGCACTACCCAATAAATTTCTCTTGCTTTTACTATTCAATATTGTACCCGCCAGCACAATGTTCTAATTTGCTAAGTATCAGATGTCTACACAAAATCTTACAAAATTAATAACAACCCTATAACATAAACCTTGTGAAATAAATTAACAAAAAAACCCCACATAGAGATAAATATCAGGATTACTATATTTTATGGTATATTTTAATATTTTTGCCTAAAAATTAGGAAACAAAATGCATTGAATATAAAGTTAAAATGAAATTAGTTGCAATAAAATATGTATCTATATACAGTGCTTTTAATATATAAAAAAAATCACCTCTTTGAATGGGAACAAATATACCACCTTTTGGTTAGAACAAAATAAGGAAAGTACCACTAAAAATGAAAACACTCAAAATCTTGGCATGTCAAGTAAAAACTCTATTTTTTCTTTTTTACTCTGGCTGTTTATTTTACAACATAAAATGAATATAAGTGGACATTAATATTGGATAACTATTTAAGAAGAATTGGCTTAAGAAAGCTAGAGAAAAACAGTCTGTTTTCAGAGAGAAGCCAAACACACCACTTTCTGTCTTGTATGTATTTCTGATGAGTGAACAGTTCTATGGATTTAAATTAGGAGAAGAAATAAACAAAATTTATGCCAAGCTCGCTGTTGTCACCCAGCAATGCCAACTTACTTTTAAAACCTATTAAGGAAGAACAAACGTACAAAGGTAAATAAGTATATACACTTTTTATGCGCAATGTTTAAAAAATATTAGAGTTACTGTAATCAGAAGAGAAGGGGGAGGGAACTTTACCTGAACATGGGTTAACCAATTTTACAAATATAAGCCCACTTTTCATCTTCTTTGAAGCATCTTTTAAATATTCTGAAAAGAAATAATGAATTTGTTAAATTAAAAGACATTTGCTTTCTTGCTCACCTTATTTACCTTATTCTCTCTCTCTCTCTTTTTTCCTTCTGTTTGAATGATTTTTCTTTGTAAACTCTCTAACTCCAATTTGGTCGTACCCTCTGTGTCATACTTAAAAAGGCCCTCTCTCCCTCAAGCCTATATGAATCACTTACATTTTCTCCCAACAACGTTGTTATCTTTAATCTATCTGAAATAAAGCTAGGTTTAAAGTATGGAGAGAAGATCCAACTTTTCTTTTTTTCAATGAACTGTCCGGTTGTACCAACGTTATCTTCTGAATAACGTATGCCCGAAATAGTTCCTTTATGCTAAATGTTTAAACTACATTTATAAGTCTGCCTATGGAAATTCTATTTTGGTCTACTAGTCTGTGTCAATATTAGCATTACTACTTCAATATTTTCATTATTATAGCTTTAAAATACATTTTAATATCTACTGAAGTAAGTTCCCTCATTACATTTCCTCTACAATATTTTACTGTCGAAGTTTTAATGGTGTAGATCAAAACACAAAGACCATGACCATTTGATTTATAACATCTTCCATATATTTTGAGTGCACATTCACAGAACGCATTTGGTGACTCTCTCTCTCCAAAAGGAACAAAGGGGTCTCATAATCCAGCAGATCAACAACCTACCAAAGCGTAAATCAGAGAGCTTTGGGGTAAGCAGTGGCACTTCATTGTTTTTATTTTCTGTGCCCCCCCTTTACCCCACTTCAGATCTTCATAAACTTGAATACAGCAAGCATGATTAGAAATCGGCTTACACATAAATGGTTAAAATACAACTTTCTTCTTCAAATAAGAGGAATATTAAATAAGCGAAAGAAAAAATAAACCCCAATTTTGAGATTTCCAATCGCAACTAAATGGAATACCAAGAACTTTATTTACCCTCCCACCTAAAACCATCAATGAGAACAACAACAACAACAAAACATAGGAAACTATTATGTTCATGACACAGGGCATTGAGCCGTACAGGATAGTGATCCCTGAGAGATGGGCAACAATTAAGGTGACCGCTATGATACGCCATGAGGAGTTTCCACCTGCCCCAGGGGGAGGCTGGCAGACACCCTGCATTGACAAGGTGGGGCTTCAGGTTCACTGGGCGGCGCGCAGGAAAGGAGAGAGGTACAAAGAAAGAAAACCCTAGACCTGTGCAGAGGACACTGCCTGAGTATCCAACCGAGAACTGATCAGTACATGCAGGTGATGAAACTACCCGAGGGCTAGGAGATGAGAGGGGAGAGTACCTCACATTCATGCAGGGCTCGGAACTCCAGACAGACGGGGAAGCCTCTTGATTCCAAGGACATTAAAGGGTCTTGCCTCAGCAGCAGGGAACAAAGAACCCTAGCCTGAATGCTGCTGTGGTACCAAGAAACTAATTTTATTTAAAAAGCAAGACCTAAAAAAAAAAAAAGAAAAAGCAAGACCGAGGGGCACCTGGGTGGCTCAGTGGGTTAAAGCCTCTACCTTCGGCTCAGGTCATGATCCCAGAGTCCTGGGGTCAAGCCCCACATCAGGCTCTCTGCCCGGTGGGGAGCCTGCTTCTTCCTGTCTCTCTGCCTGCCTCTCTGCCTACCTGTAATCTCTGCCTGTCAAATAAATAAATAAAATCTTAAAAAAAAAAAAAAAAAAAGCAAGACCTAAAAGGATCAAACTGTTTCTGAGTACCTTCACTGGGACCCAGAATGAAGCTCAAGATTATTTAATAGGAATACAAGAATATTCCTTGGCCAAAAAGGTAAAATTCACTATGTCTGGCATCTAAGCAAATATTACTGGGTATTCAAAGAAGCAGAAAAATATGGCCCGAAATGAGAAAAATGAAGAACCCAATTAATGAGAGAAGGGTCCTGATATTAGATACAGATGTTCAAATGAACAGGCAGGAGCGTAAGGATGGTATTCCTCATGCACAAAAAATTAAGTAGAGACACATAAGTTTTCTCAAAAGACCCAAGTTGAAATGAAAAATACACTAAATGGGATTAATGGCGGAAGAAAAGATTAATGAACTGAAGACATAGCAATAGAAACTATGTGAAATGAAAACACAGAGAAAAAAGAATGAAAAATAAATAGACATTAGGAACTGTGGGACAACTTCAAGCATCCTAATACATGTGTCTGAAAGAGAGGATGTGGGAACGGAAAAAATATTTGAAGAAATTATAGCCAAATATTTTCAAATCTGATGAAAACAATAAACCTACACATCCAAGAAGTTCAATAAAGCCAAAACACAGGAAATAGGAATAAACTATATATCACGATCAATACTTCAAAGCCAGTAATAAAGAGACAGATCTTAAAAGCAGACAGAGTTAAAGAAGACATACTATGTACAGAGGAACAAAACTAAGAATCACAGCAAGTTTCCTCATTGGAAACAATGTAAGCCAGAAGACATCTGTAAAGTACTGAAAGAAAACATGATGATCCCAGAGAAATTACCCTTGAAAAAATAAAGGTGATAAATAGACTTTTTCAGACATGCAGGAGCTGAGAGCAATAACCACCAATAGACCCACACTACCAGGAATGCTAAAGGAAGTCCTGGCAGAAGGAGTAGGCTGCCAGATGAAAATAAGAATTTAAACAAAGAAACGAGAAGCACTGGTAATGGTGACTACAGGGGTAAATCAATAACAATTTTTTTTCTATTACTTAAATCTCTTTAAAGATTACTGACTAAACAAAAATAACAAGTTAGTGTGGGGTTTACAGCATACATATAAACAAAATACATGAGAAGATAGCATGAAGGCCAGGACAGAGGAAAGGAAAGCATACTACTGTATGTTTCATCCCACTGTGTGAGTTTCTTCTGCCATCTGTGGAATGCGTGACATCACCCGAAGGTAGATGGGATCGATATACGTGTGCAATAAACCCCAAAGTGGCCACAAAATTAAGAAAAAATGCTGTCACTAATAAGACAATATAGGAGATGAAACAGAACCATAAAAAAAAATTCAATCCAAAAAGAAAAAGGCAGAAGGGGAATGAAAGAAGTTAAAAAGGACAGAAGAGACAAACAGAAAACAAACAGCAAAATGACAAACTCAAACCTAACCCTATTAATAATCACACACAACGTAAATGTCTGTACATCCTAATTCAAAGGCAGAAATTTTCAGATTGGTTAAAAAAGTAAGGTAATCCTCTATGCTGCATACAGAAACACTCGAAAGCTGCAAGCTGATTCAAAGGAAGAAGATATGCTTTTCATGCTAACACTAATTAAAAGAAAGATGGACTGGCTCTGTTAATTACAGACTTAGAACATTACCAGTAATAAAGAAGGTCATCCCACTGACTGACTTCACTTAGCACCAAAGCCTCTAGCTCCATCCATGTTGCTGCAAATGGCAATTTCATTTCTTTTTTATGGTGTATTCACACACCACCTCTTCTATATCCATTCAGCTATTGATGGACACATGGGTTGCTTCCCTATCTTGGCTATTGTAAATGATGCTGCAGTACACATAGGAGTGCACATGTCTTTTCAAGTTAGTCTTTTCATTTCTTTGAGTAAATACCCAGTAGTGGAATTACTGGATCATATGGCAATTCTAATTTTAATTTTTTTGAGGAGCTCCATACTGTTCCATACAATTTCACTCCTATTTGGAATTTAAGAAACAAAACATACGAATAAAGAAAAAAAGAAACAAACAGTAAAACAGACTCTTGACTGTAGAAGATTGGTGGTTCCCAGAGGGGAAGGGGGTGGGGGGAATGGGTGAAACAGGTGAAAGGGATCAAGAGTGCCCTCATCGTGATGAGCACTGAGTGGTGGACTGTGGAATCACTGTATCATACACCTGAAATTAATATATGAATGTTACTTATACAGGAATTAAATAAGTAAATTTTTTTTTAAAAGGATGTGATTTCCTAATGGTGAAAGGATCAAGAGGAAATCATTCTAAATGTTTAAGCTCACAGACACAGAGCTTCAGGATGCACTAGATGAAAGCTCATAGAACCCTGTGCCCCAACTCCAACCCCTGGCAACCGCTAATCTGTTCTCCATCTCTACAGTTTCGTGATTTTGAGAATGTTATAGAAATGGACACATACAGATTTAATTTTAAGAGTCTTTTAAGACTTTCCTTCCTGCAACTTATAAAAATGTGAAGGATAAAGTTTAGCACTGTTAAAAACTTTTCCACAAAACTAAAACAGCAGTTGTGGTTTTCCCTCCTTCGCCCTGCTGTTTCTCACTATTTCAGCTTCACTGTCTCCATTATGTCAAGGCATGGAAAAAGCGACCTCTCTCCTTCAGCAATACACCTGTGATTTTACTTCAGTACTATAGTAAACCTTTCAACTTGAACTTGGTGAATCATTATTGATTTTTTTGTTTCCTTTTTTTTCAATAGAAAGTTCCAGTTATGGCAATTCTCGCCAGCTCTCCTTCAGCCTTCCCATTCTTCCATCGCTTAAAATGATTAAAATTTATAAATACTAAAAGTCTAAAATATATATTCTTAACAACTCTACAAGGGAAGCAGTGTTTCCATTTTTCTCAGGAAGAGCACTAAATCCAGAGGATTAACTATAGCCTAAAATGTCAAACTGTAAACTTTGGAATTACTAAGTACAAATAAATACTGACATTAATGTGTTCTGCTGCAAATGCCAGGGTTCTCTGAAATACACTTTGAGATGTATTAATGTAGATAATGCTGAAATGTCTACGTAGCATGGGAAAAAAGACATCTTTTCTCAGTTATGCCAATAAAATAACCTGCAGTTGTATTGAATATTTCAACACAGAATTCCAAGCGAGATGCTATTCTCAGGTTGTTTTACCTCTTTAACAACAGAATGAATTTTAAAATTAATCTCTCCCGCCTACTTCACTCATTCAGTTTTTAAATACTGATTAGCAAAGCAGACCCAGCCTGTTCCCATGAGGAAC